ACATTCCCTGTATGCCAGCAACATCTAATTTGAATCTGTGGGGCGTTTAGAGGGAAAACAGGGCTGGGGATGACAGAACTCCAAAATATGCCTGGTATCTAAAACCTGAAACCTGATCCGATTCCACGGTGGAGGAATGAACCACACACTTCTCAATGTCATTGTTGTCTTGATGTATAGAATGGGATAATATTGGCCACTTAGTCTATCAATAGGATTCTCTTCAGTTTCTAAACTGCTTTGAGACAGCACCTTGGAGGCACCTTGTGGACCCACAGCAAGAAGTGCCATTTGTCAAATAGGGTGTCAGATAAATTAAGTAGAATTCTGGTGTCTATATGCATTAATGCCCCCACAGAGACCAACATACTAACTTGGGCCGAATTTACAAAAGCTCAGTTATAGTGTCACCTCCTCTGTGGCCAACTTAGCCCACTCTCTCCTCAGTGCTGGCCACACGGAGTCATAACTGCTGGCTGTTATGTCTGTCTCCCCAACAGGCTGACATCCTGCAAGGCAGGGACCATATTTTATTTATCTTTGTATCTCTGGGAGTTCGCACAAGTTGGTAGCTTGCTGATTGTTTTTGCAATCAGCAAAAATTTGTTCGATGACTGTTAGGATTCATTTAATGAGAGCCAAATGTCGGATTAGAATCCCATCCCAACTCTGTGTGCTCCGACGTGTCCCTACCAGTTCCTACTCCTTGTCCTTAGAGTCCTGGCGAAGGCGCTGCAGGGCCATGAACTTAGGATTTCCACACCACACAGCACAGCAGGAAAAGGTGGTTCTGACCCTTACACTTCTCAGGGCCCTGGAAGGATGAAGAATATTAGAAAAATTCTGATGGCCAAACTAATTAGGCAAAACTGTTCAGCAAAACATTTTTCTGTGCCAAGCACTGTTCTACGTTTTAAATCTTGTGGGATCCTCAGGTAACTACAAGTGGGTACTGGTACTGTACACATTTGACATGAGGAAAGTGGCACAGAAAGCTGGGGTAACTTGCCCAGGCGAGGGAGCCTGACGTGAGTATTCCGCGTGTCCCACCTCTGACGAAGCCAGAATTAATTAACCATTTCTCCTCTGTGTTCCCAAAGTCTCAGTACGCAGTCCTGCACCTCGGTGCGTTATGTTGTGATGAGAGATGCACGTCAGACTCGTTGACCAACCGGGGAGTTCCTGGAGGACTGGGGCTGTGTCTTTATTGGTCTTGTTGCCTCCCCACTCAGCTGAGTGACTAGTTTGCAGTCGCTTCTCAGGAAGTGTCCGCTGAATAACTGGATGAGGGGAATCTCCTTCCAAATCTACCACTCCCGGGGAATTCCCCAGAGAAGAGCATGGAGACAGGCTCATCCCTCTGCCTCAAGTGCGCGCACGCGCGTGCGCCTTTGTGCGCGCACATCCCAGCAGCAACTTCCATAGTGGGCCACGAAGTCTGGCGGAACTTACCGACATTAAAAACCAACCCCCTATATTTTGCTTGAGCTAAAGTAGTTTTTAAAATATTTTTTTAAGTTATGGGAAGTCAAAATAGTTTAAAAAAACACGTGTAATTTTAAACTGAGCAATTCCACTTCTAGGAGTGTATCCTAAGAATCTTCAGGACTGTATGTCTGGAGGCCACACATGTATAGCAATAAATCTCTGTGGAGGCTAAGCAGGCACGGAGCTGGGTAAGGGGCTGCTTTCTGTATATGGGTGGGATGGTGCCATGCTGGAATGGGCCAGCCCATTATTGCGATGTGACCATGGAGATCCAGAACAGCCAAGGTTTGTTTTTCAATAAAGTCCAGAAATTTCAATTTTAAAACATTGGCTGTGGTGTATCCCCAAAAATAGACAAGCTATTCCTTTCTCTCTCTCCAAGCCCTAGGCTACAGCCCTCCCACACTGACGCTGGGCTGGCCTTGGGACACGCTTTGGCCAATAGGACATTAGCAAAAGTTGTGCAGGCAGAGGCTTGAAAGGTGCTTGCACACTGGGGCTTGACTTCTTGCTGCCCATGGGACGTCTGCCACCACTGCTACATGAGAAAGGCGGGGCAAATGTTATGAGCAGAGGTATGTGACCTAGACACCTCTGTTGCCCCAGGCAACAATATGCCACTTGCCAGACATGCCAGTGAGGCCACCTAGCTCACCCAGTCTTAACCAGCCCACCGCAGACGCAGGATAGCCCAGCAGAGATCAGCTGGCTCGACCAATATCAGAACAGTCCAGTGGGCTCCCAGAATGGGGAGCTAAGCTTTCAGCCAATATATGTGGTGGTGGTTTGCTATATAATAAAAGCTAGTGGATGACAAAATTTAAATATGTTCAGAGCTGAACAAAAGAGTGATCTAGTTCACTGTAACACCTAGCAAATGTAAAGATTTAACAACAAAGGCTTTTTTTTTAAAGATTTTTATTGGGGAATTGGGGGGATAGGAATAGTGCTGGGGAATTGGGGGAAGGGGAACAGACAAGTTGCTGTTGTCTTCTTCTTCAATCTAGTTGTGGAGGACGTCGCCCCACTGGCCCAAGTTGGCACCATCATTGCGCTCTTCTCTGGCGAGGCAGATCAGTCGCCGGCTTCTGGACGACCGCTCACTGCGGCTGCTGGCCACTCACACTGGCTGCTGGCTACATACGGTAGCCCATGGCAACCCACTGCAGCAGGGGCTGCAGCCTACGCTGTCACGGGCGACTCATGGCAGCCCAGCTCCAGGTTGAGCCATTGTTCAGCATCCTAGCTGTAGAGGGCAGCGTCACTGGCCCTCATATGTGGGATCCGAACCGGGGCCCTCTGGCGTCCCAAGAGAGTTCTTAACCAACGCACCACTCGGCCAGCCCAACAAAGGCTTTTTTTATATCACTGTTTATAATAGTGAAAAACCCACTTGAAGAACCATCGAAGGGACTAGAGGAGTGGTTAACAAGTGAAGGCACATGCGTAGCCTGGAAGTTATGCCACCCCTGCAAACAATGCTGTAGGATACCAGCCACACACAGACCTGCCCAATTTGGTGTGCCACCCAATTTGGATCAATAGGCACGATTTTACTACTGCCTGGAACACATGCTCTTGCAGAGCTGAAGCACAGAGCTGAGTGGATCACACAGTGCAGTGGAGAGGGCATGATGCTGTAGGAAGGTATCAACACTCAGAAAAAGCCCTGGGTGTTTACGGGGATGTGCTCAGCTTTGCTTTTTGAGGATATAAGTATGCAGTGGAGGCAGTAAACAGCTCTACTCAAGTAAGGATGTAGTTGGAAAGGGAGGTCAGGCAGACATGTTTTGACAGACAAAGACATTGTTAGACTGAATAGCTTAGTGTCTTCTAATTTCTTCAAACGTGCTGCCAGAAATTACAGGACTTGAATGTGTTCTCCAAACACAAAGAACGTTGACAAACACGGGTATAGAACAATCTTTTTTTTTTTTTTTAAGATTTTATTGGGGAGTTGGGGAGGGGAACAGTATTGGGGAATCAGGAAAGGGGAACAGACAAGTTGCTGTCCTTTTGTTCTTCAGTCTAGTTGTGGAGGACGTCGCTTCACTGGCCCATGTTCTTATTATTGCACTCTTCCCGGGTGAAGCGGCAGATCAGTCACAGGGCTCTGGAGGGTCGCTCATGGCGGCTCTTGGCAGCTCACGCCAGCTACCAGCCGCTCACGCTGGCTGCCAGCCACTCATGGTAGCTGACGGCAGCCACTGCAACAGAGGATGCAGCCTACACCGTCACCAGCGAACCACAGCAGCCCAGCTTCAGGTTAAGCTGTTGTTCACTGTCTTATCTGTAGAGGGCACAGCGTCACTGGCCCATGTGGGATCCAAACTGGGGCCCTGCTGCTCACAGCTGGCCTCCCAAGCCAACTCTTAACCAATGCGCCACTCGGCCAGCACCAACAATCTTTAATGACATGAAAAGACATGTTAAATATTGAGTTGTGGAAAAGTCATGACGTATTCTATGTTTTTCATTGCTAAAATTCGTCATGACTTTTCTGACAACCCAATAAAAGAAGCCAATTGTAAAACAACATGTACAGTCCAATCCAAGTTTTGTTATAAAAAGGACATGCGGGCATGTGAAAGTAACTGGCGGACAGAGGCGGGCACGAGTGTGACATAGGCTCAGAGCAGGGGAGTAACCTCCCCGAGGCAACGCTGCCAGCAGGAGGAGCACAGGACTCAGGCTTCTTCAATGAGCGTTTATGTTTGGAAGATGGGAGCAGGGGTAATTCTCTTTTTTTTTTTCTTCTTACTCATTGGTATTTTTTCAAACTCCTATAATAAACATGTACTATTTTTTACCGAGAAAATTTAATGAAAGTTATAGTTTTTAAAGTTTGGAAGCATGCTCATGCACACGCCTATGTATACACACATAAACACATACACCCCGAACCAAAGCGGAGCAAGACTTTTCTTAAATCATTTTTTTTTTTTTTTGGTCAGTGCTCGGCCATGTCACTGCATTAGTTCAGAATTTTATTGGGGGTAGGCAGTCCCTGGAATTGTAAACTCTTCTTCCTTGTGAAAACACATAGACTCCTTGCAGGCACAATACCCACCTGATTCTCTGGGAGGCAGGCAGATGTCACATAGCATTACTGTCTGCAGCCGAAGGTAGAAACGAGGCAGTGCTCTGCACGCTCTGTTCTTCCATTCTGCAAATCTTCCACAAGAATGTGAGCAGGTGCAGCTGCCACATGGCCATGGAGACAACCCGCTCATTAATGGTACCAAGTCAGAGCTCTCTAATGGTCCTGGCAGCCCATCATGGGCAAGTTCATCATGAATTTTCTTCACTGCTGACAGAGCATAGAAGTGTCTTTGTGCATGACCGAGTCCTTAAAAATGGCAAGAAGATGACCTAGCGAATCATCAGACCCACTTCTAAAATGCCAGTCCGTTGCAGCAGAGCCCAGCTGTACTCACTCATCCATAAATGGGGTGAGAACAAAAGCCAAAGCAATGCCTGGGGGGATGAATAGCAAAGTAACAAGTCCAAGGTTCAAAATGAGCAGCGGTTTATTAAAGATGTCGTAGAAGTACAGTCTACCACCAAACGCAGTGATGGGGCCAAAGTATGAGAATTTTACAAGATAATGAATGAATGGCTGGGCTACAAAATAGAAAATTGAGCTGATGAAGCCAGTCGGCCATCCTTCTGAACAGTTTGTTGAACTGTAAAATAACTAATCTTTTCTAGTAAAGGGAATATGGTTACCAGACATCTAAAAGGATGTCATCAACACACCACTGTCATCTTTTTGAGCACCTCTTCAGTTCAACTCTACCACTCTACACACTTGACATAGGAATAGAGAGAGGTAAAAAGTAGATTTTTTTTCCCCCTTTGAAAAATCCTGAGTTAAGTCAGAACTACGAAATAGATTCTATAATTATTCAGAAGGCCAAATCACCTGTCCCTTTCTTGATTGGACCCATTGTGGAGTTAATAAAATCACACCACATTTTAAAGCTCAGCAAGAAGCCCGGTGCTAGCACTTTCTCCTGCGGTGCCCTCAGCTTTAGCCTGTAGCTGCATCCAGGTTCAGCCTAGCCACATCAGCAACTTAACAGCTACCACTTCCAGAGAGGTGACTCTCGGCCAGGTACTAGATGAGCCCTTGGTAGACATTATTCCTTTTATCATCACAAAAATCTTGGAGGTGGGGACAATCATTTGCTCAGTCTACAAATGAGGAAACTGAGAGGCTTAGTGAAGTAACTCCCCCAAGGCAATGCTGCTAGCAGGAGGAGAGCAAGACTCAGGCTTCTTCAAATAGCATTTAAGACAAAGGAGGAGACATAGCTTGGAGAGGTTGGAGAGGGCACACAGGTGCAGTGCTTCAAAGCACATATTCTAGCTCATTCCGCCTGGCAAGTCACTTAATCTCGCTACAGAAGGAGGTTCACCTCCCTTGCCCAACTACTTCATAAAATTTTGTGAGGTCCAAATGAGATCACATATATGAAAAGCCTCGAAAAGAGTAAAGCATTTGACAAATATCATGTATTATTAATAAAAGAACAGAAGACCAAATCGTACTCCTTAAGAGCATAACATTTCAATTATCAGGGCTTCAATGGAAAGGCCACGCCTCCTTTTGTCCCCCAGACTAAATCCTTTAAGTAAACGCACAGGATTCTTGGGCAATCATTAACAGATGAAGAAGGGCTCAGGTATACATGCTGGTACTTGACCTGGTCTTTGCAGGGAGCTTTGGTGTCTTAAATTTAACGCAGACACCCTGCCTGAGCTATTTATCTTGACGGAAGAAAGTAACCATTTTCCGGTTGCTATCAATTCCGTTCCCAACAAACAGCTACTGTAATTTTACACCTTTAATCTATGCAATATGAGAATGAGAAAAAACACCAAACAATACTTCCTTATGAAAGGGCCACATTATATATAGCAATTCACTTTTTATTATCGTCATCATTAATACCAAAGTCCACAGTTCAGTAAAAGTGGGTGCTTTATTTACAGGACACCTGCACGTAATATGATAACACAGCGTTGTTTTTTTAGCCGCTATGATTTACCAACCTATTAAAAGGCAAGCACACAATTAAAACCTTTAATTAAGGTTTAAAATTAAAAGGCAAGCACACAATTAAAACAAGGCAATCTACTAGCAATTAAAAACGACGAATTGTCAAGCCAGTGTGGGAGAGCTGAGTAACCTGGCCTCAGGTAATCTCAGGGCACATGCGGCTTGGGGTGCACCCCAGCGGGTGGATGGAGGCGCCATCATTCCAGCATGTGTTGGAGCACTGCCGGGTCGGCCTCCACTGCCCGCAGGCCCCTGTGCAAGCTCTGGAAGGTGGCTTCCTTGCCGTAGCGCTGCCTCCAGCGGATGAAGGCCTCCACCATCTGTGACTGCACGTTGTGGGGGTGGTTGGCCTTACAGCGGTAGATATCCGTCTGGGACAGCCCCAGAGACAGCACCACGGGCTCCCACTCAGGGCCCAGCCTCTGGGCCAGCTGGTTAATCTGCCGGTCCGACGGGGAACTGCTGAGGATGTGCGGAGGGATTCCAGCTATCCTATTGTCTGTGAAGAAGAAAGACACCAAGGTTTTGAAAAGAGCAAGCAAACACTTCTCAGGTGGGGACAGAAAAAAACCCCGCAGGGAGGACGACATACACTTCAACGTCAGGGGCCAACTTTTCCTAGTCTTCTTGGGGGCTGATCAGTACCAAGCCATATGTAGGGACTTAAGAAATACCATTCAGCAGCTATGAAAATGTTTATTATACAAAATTTGAAAACAAGAAAATAAAATCAACTAGAAATCCCATCAGAGAAACTCAACTAATAATAATTTGATCTATTTCAGTCTTTTATATATAAAACATACATTTAGGATTACATTGCATATACTGCTTTGTAATGTGCTTTTTCATTTCCATCTCTTTCACCAGAGGCCAAGCAGGGGGTTCTGGAGGAATCTGAGAATGTCTGCATGGACCCCTTCCCTCTGGTGCTGGACTGTGGTGCAGGGATGACACTCTCTCCCGCAGCAATGGCTAATGCTGGAGGGTAACATGCTAAACCGAACAGCTACTCTTTCCTGATGAACTTGAATATCACCAAGCGAAGTGGTTGTGTCTAATAGAAGCAAGAGCCAAGAGGCCCACTGAGAAAAAATGAAACTGAGAGGCCATGAGGCAGCAGGTGGAGAGTCACTATCCTGGCAGAGCTCAGAGCTGGAGAGAAAGCACAGGCCGCGTTGAGGCAGTGAGAGAACCAGACCTTGCAGAACTAAACTGGATTCCAGTCTCCTGGAGGTCAGGCTGCTGAGGGAGTCTGACCTTGAGTGAGTGACTATATGTGTTCCCAGCATATCCAATGAGAAGGGCCAGCAGTTACACAGAAGGCCTTCCAGAGGAAGGGTGTTTAACACTGAGCCCTGAACATGGGAAGCACCCCAGGGAAGGAAAGGAAAGGAGTGGACCCTGTGCAGAAAGAACTGCATGTGCAAAGGCCCTGCGGCAGAAGAACATGGCACATTCAAGAAAGTGAAAGAAATTCACTGTAGCAAAGAGCAGAGCTTGAGAAGGACTCCAAAAGTCCTAAATTATGGAGCTGGTTACTGGGTAGGACAGGACTATTCCTGGTTCAGACATCGGTATGATAGCACACTGTGCTACACTTCCTGTCACCAGCATCACAGGAATTCGAGTCGAGCCCACTTCACACTCACCAGCTCACTGTTCTGATTTGTGAATTCAATAAGAAGGCAAAAGGCATCCTATTAGAGGAGCTGATATTTTCCATTGCACGTGCCCTTGGCCTCTAAGCAGCTGCTAATGTCTTAGGCATGAGTTACAAAGTTATTGTCAAAAACTCTTTCTGGTGTTTGTGAAGATTGTCATTTTTAAAAAATGACTAAGAAGCACTTAAGATGATGATACGACTGACCAATATTTTGACAAATATTTTATATTAACAGTAATGGTTTTACGGATTTTTTAAAAATATGGGCTCATTAAAAAAATTCAAACAACACAAAAATGTACAAAGAAGAAAACAAATCATCCAATATCCCACCATTGTGTTTTCGGTTGGGGAACATCATTTTGGATACGTCTTTACACACATGTACTTTTGGAAGAATAATATAACAGCTTTCTTCTTAAGAGTTATTTAATTTTGTTTGACTATAACAGAAAAAAAATAAGAAGTCAAACTAAATGGCTTTCTGACCTGCAGTTAAATACTTAAAACACACATGTGCACACACACACACACATGAAAGATTTAACACTGAGAAAAAAATTATGAAAATTTAAGAGGTAAACTGCATGTTTTTATATTAATACTCTACAATGAACACTTTATATTTCCCTCCATTTCCTCACACCTCCTGACTTTTGTCATTTATATCATTTTTATTTTGCCAGGTGCATAACAGTTATATACTTCTGTAACAATAATCCCCCCAGCTGTTTAGTCTTCAAGCTATATTAGAATGATTTGAATGTTCACCAGTGTTTTTTGTTGTTGTTACTGTTTTTTTTTTTTAAGATTTTTTTATTGGGGAATTGGGGGATGGGAACAGCGCTGGGGATGTGGGGGAAGGGGAACAGACAAGTTGCTATCCTTTTTTTCTTCAGTCTAGTTGTGGAGGACGTTGCTTCACTGGCCCAAGTTGGCACCATCATTGTGCTCTTCCCGGGCGAGGCAGATCAGTCACCGGCTTCTGGACGGCCGCTCACTGGCTGCTGGCCACTCACGCTGGCTGCTGGCTACACACGGTAGCCCATGGCAACCCACTGCAGCAGGGGCTGCAGCCTACATTGACGCCGGCGACTCATGGCAGCCCAGCTCCAGGTCGAGCTGTTGTTCAGCATCTTAGCTGTGGAGGGCAGTGTCACTGGCCCTCATATGTGGGATCCGAACCAGTACCCTCTGGCGTCCCAAGCCAGTTCTTAACCAACGCGCCACTCGGCCGGCCCATTACTGTTTTTTTAACCGTAGCATTTCCACTCCTGAGTCTGTTATTCTGAGTTTTGGGGTCAATTTCATCATAGGGTGGTTTTTCTCAAGAAATGTGCATGGTAACTATTTTCCTTGAGTTCTTTCAGATCAAGACTGCTTATTGCCTTCACTGCTGAATAATAACTTAATATTTATATAAACAATTTCATATTATATAATTTTAATATTATATTTTTAAATTATGAATATAATTTTATATTATTTAAATACATTTACTCCTCTTACAAGTTTGTAGACCTTGCTCATATTTCATGGGAGAGAATGTTGGTGTGGAGAATTCTGATACCAACTTGACCTTCCCCTTTTTCCATAACGTGCTTTTTCTGCCTGGCGTTTACAGTACTAACGTTTTAGACCTTGGTATAGCTTGGTCATTTTCTATTTGCTTTTCCAGCACATTGCATGACTTTCTGACCAAAGATTTAGTTCTTCCTTCCTTTCAGAAAAATCTTCTTGTGTTATATCTTTGTGTTGTTTTCCTACTTCATATGCTATATGGTTTTGCCCATCCTCCGCGGCAATCATTTTCTCTCTCACTGCTTTAACTCCCTGTGATAATCTCATGCCTTTCCCCATGCCAGGCATTTGACTTTCGGTTATGTCTGTTCTGCCTTTTTGGGGTTTTGTTTTGTTTTTCTGGTTCAAATCCTGTATTGTGTTTTTCTTCCAATTTCTTTCTTGGCTCTTCACTCTATCTTTTAAAAATCCCATTCCACCTCACACCCATTAGGATGGCTGCTATTAAAAAAAAAGAAAAGAGGGCCGGCTGAGTGGCTCAGTTGGTTAAGAGCTCGCTCAAGAGTTTGAGCTCTGAGCAACAGCGGTTCAAGTCAGCCTGAGCAGCCGTGAGCTGCCAACAGGTGGCGGGATGGCTCAGCTAAAAAAAAAAAAGAAAAAAAAAAGAAAAGAAAAGAAAGAAATGTCTAACTCATTGAAACGGAGAGTATTGGGTTGTCGGGAAAGTCATGACACATGTTTGTGACAGATGGCACTAGTTCATTTTTGGAAGTACTATTTGGAAGTTATTATTATGTCATTTGACAGCTGACAGCTCTAGCTTCATTCTAAAAAAAACAGCAATTTGGTTGAGTTTTGGAGATTTTACAAGTTGAAGATGGAAGACCAAACTATGCATTTTTGCCATATTTTACTGTTTTACTTCCATAAAGGGAAGAACACATGTCAAGCTTGTGATAAGTTGCATAAAGTTTACGGTGACAATGCTCTACAAGAACGTCAGTGCCAACAATGGTTCCCAAAATTCCGTGCTTTTTTTTTTTTTTATCTCAATGATGCTCCTCGGTCAGGGAGGCCCACCATGGTTGATGATGACAAAATAAAGGCACTGATTGAGTCAAACCCATGTTACACAACACAAAAGATTGCAGAAACATTGAGCATCCATCATTCAAGCATTCACGACCACCTGAAGAAGCTGGGATACATATAGCAAGCTTGATATTTGGGTTCTGCATTAACTCAAAGAAGTTCATTTGACAGTGCATATAAACATCTGCTATATGCTCATTAAACGTGAGGAAAACGATCCTTTTTTGAAGCGACTGATAACTGGTGATGAGAAGTGGATTGTTCACAACAACATGGTGTGCAAACAGTCTTGGTCCCGACATGATGATTCGCTGCAAACGACATCGAAAGCAAACATTCATCAGAGGAAGAGTGTGCTCTCAGTGTGGTGGGATTTTAATGGTGTTGTGTTTTTCGAGCACCTACCAAGGAACCAAACAATCAATTAGAATATGTACTATCAGCAATTGAACAGTTTGAATGAATTCATCATCCAGAAATGTCCAGAGCTTGTTAATTATAAATGAGTTGTGTTCCATCACGACAACACGAGACCACACAGAAGTTTGATCACCCATCAAAAATTAGTGGAGTTTGGATGGGATGTGTTGCCACACCCACCATACTCGCCTGACCTTGTGCCATCAGACTTCCACTTGTTTCGCTCTCTTAAAAACTCCTTGTGTGGTATAACATTCAATTCAGATGAGGCTATAAATCAGCACCTTGTTCAGTTTTTCGCAAATAAGACAGGTCTTTTTATGAACGAGGAACTATGAAGCTCACTGAAAGATGGAAAAAGGTTATCAAACAAAACGGGCATATATCGTTGACTGATCTTTGTTCTTTATATAAACAAATGACCTTTGAAAAACATAGACAAAATACGTCATGACTTTTCCGACACCCCAATAGAATGGTGGTTGCCAGGGGCTAGGGGTGAAGGGAGGAAAGGGGGGAGGTAGGTAAAAGAGTATAAACTTCCACTTGTAAAATTAATAAGGTCTTCCCAGATAAGGAAAAGCTAAAGGAGTTCATCACCACCAAATAGGTATTACAAGAAATGTTAAAGGGACTTCTTTAAGAAAAATAAAAAAATAAAAAATATGAATAAAATGGCAATAACTACATACATATCAATAATTACTTTAAATATAAATGGATTAAATGCTCCAATCAGAAGACATAGGGTGACTGAATGGATAAGAAAACAAGACCCTTACATACTTGTATGCTGCCTA